GTAAATATTAGTTCAAGTTTGAGTTGTAATTTCCTTTCCATTGTAATAGTTTATTTCAATTGTAAAATAGTTCTGATATTGGTAAATGTTTAGTATGATTCATCGGCATTTAAACGTCTAATCCTATTGCTTAGATTTTTGTTCTGCAAGCTATTATATGGGGTATTAGTCTTTCAAATAATCTTTCAAGCTTTCTAGTGTTCGCCCCCTGCACCAGCCATTGTAATTTCCTGCTTTCATCAAGTAATTTCTAGTTTTCAAGCCATCAATGATCGATTTACTTTCAATGCATCTCAATTTTATGTTGCAAGTTTTCTACAAATTGTAATCAAATTTTCTTACCGAAAAAAGACGGAAGGTAGTCTAACGGAACAGACTATTGCCGCACGATGTCCCTTTCCGTGATAAGAAGAAAGACACCCCGTGAAACCAAGGATTCTTGAGGCTATATACTACAAGTGCATCCCACTGATTGTTGCCGATGGTTTTGTCCCTCCGTTCAATGTTGTGATCAACTGGAATGCATTTTCCATCATTGTTGCTGAAAAGAATATCCCGAAGCTTAAAGAAATACTCTTAGCTATCCCTTTGAGACGATATCTTACCATGCAAACCAATGTGAAAATGTTGTAGAAGCATTTCCTCTGGAATGCACAGCGGGTTAGATATGATCTTTTCCATTTTATTCTACATTAAATATGGAATAGCAGACGTAACATTCAGATACCACGGCCATTAAAATTACCAGCGCCTTTTTCTTGCGTAGGTTCTACAGCTGAAGGTATAACAAATTTAAGCCGAGATGCTGAACAGATGTCCAATCTTTAAGGTTAATACTGGCTCGAATTCACAGGCTTATGTATTGTCATGGTGGGAGAAGGAAAACTCATTTTTAGATTCTCATTAGAAGAGAAGTTGATCGAATCTATGGGCAGCGAGGACTTATTTTTTATTCCCGAATGCTGCATCTGTTACAAGCACGAATATCTGCACAGTCCAGCCCTTTCAATTTCCTCTATTTATGCAGAAAGAACCCCGGGTATCAACATTTGCCTTAGACTTAACTACTGGAACATAATTCTTAAATATTTGGTCTGATGTTCATATTTTAACATTGGCAGCAGCATCCTGTATACTGAGTTATCCTCCAAGATGAAGTTCCGGACCTACCATCAATTGCTTCTACCATTTTCTTTATTCGGAACTGATAAGTGCATTTTATGCGTTTATTCGGGCTTCCATTCTTATTTATTTATATAAAAATTGAGCGATTTGTAAATTATGTTGATTGTAGGAAAAATCCCAACTTTGATATAATTTACGTAAAAAGGGGCTATTTGGAGCTTAATTAGAATTGATGTAGAACAATTCAAGATTAATCGGACTGCTAGAGATCAATTGGAAATATTAATAGAGCAATCGGGAAAAAAGATCACAAGTTTTGGGAGTTAAATTTTACAATTGGAAAGTTTGGGGACTCAATTGCAGACTCCAAAACTTTCTTCGGGTCAATTATTAATTACTTTGGAATGAAGATGACTTAATTACAATATTAGAAGATAGAGGACTAAAGTCACGTGAGAAAATGGGCCCAATTGAAAAAATGATTTGTTTTCTTTTATTTCTTAAATTCTTTGATATAAATCAATTTGAACTCTTTTGTGGAAATCAAGTTGAATAAGAATTTTGCTTAAATCTTGTTCTATAAATATGTACCTTAGTCCAACAATTAAAGGGGGTTTGTAAAGTTTCATTATACACATACATTTAAGCCAAGGCATAAGGTATCATTATACATATATTATTTAGGCCAAAATGAGGAAAAAATCAATCAAGGAGTTATGATTTTAAGATTTTACAAGAAGATGGCGGAATCTTGGTAAAAAATATTAATCATTTTCCCATTTTTCCTTATAACCTGGTGATGTACTGTAATTCTTTCTTGTTTTATTCTTCTCCCATAATGTGTAATTAATTATTTAGTTATTTTTAATTAAAATGTTTTACCTAGTTTTGAACCTTATTTTTAATTAAAAAAATTTAAATTTCAAATTGATTTTCGTGAATTGTTTTTACTTTTATTCTTAAGGTTTTGATTGACTGGTCACTAATTCATTGATTTTGTGAGCGATTATTACGTATAGATGAGGATTATTTGTTTAGAGCACGTAGTAAAAGCCATGAACTAGTGTAAAAACGTAAAACATTTTCAAGTTAATGCGGTTGTTACATGGATTCTTAGAGATTTGATGCATTTAGCTAAGGTGTATCTGAATTCACATAGAGATATGAAATTGACTTAATTATTTAGAATTGGTTTGAACTCAAGAGAGATAAATTTTTAGAAGAATTAGAATGAATAAACATAATCAATTGTCATAAAGTTTGGTGAATAAACAAGTCATATTTTATTATTTTCGTATATTTAAAATAAAAAATCACAAAAATAAGATAAATTATTTGTATTTATTTTCGATCAAACTGAAGTTAAGAATAATTTAATCAACGATTAGATAGTAGTTCTCGTGAGAACGATATTCGGACTTATAAGTCTACTTTACTTGTTACGATTCGTACACTTGTGAGATATACAATTGATGACAATTTCATGATAACGGAAGTAACATACTCCTCATATTGATTTGGTTCAAAATATCAGTTTATTATAACGAAATGAATAACTGCTTTAAGAGCTCATCCATTAGAGTTTAGCGAGTGAAATACTTTGTGTGAAGTGCTGGCCCTTGATGGCTGCACTTTTTTGTGATCCTCTCACAGTGAATTTTGGCATATAAATTCTTTCTGCAGATTCACTTAGAAGTTATTTATTTAGACTAGTCGATTGCCCGTGCAATGCACGGGCTAGGTTATTTTCAAGGTAATGTTAGTATGTTCAATGTGTTAGATTCTCATGAATTGTGTCCTGAATTCAATGCTTACTTGAAGAAAGCAAAAACTGCAACAGCAAACCCACAATTTCAAGCATTTCAATGTGCGTATCTCATATAGATGAAATGAAGTTATTGCCAAAATAATAAAGGTTTGGAGAACGGTAATCCGTTCATTTTGCAATTACATGTGAACCAATATGGCAGAATCCATAAAAAATATAGGGCTAACAGAGAGGTGTTGACCATTAAATTCTAATCAGACAAAGAGGTTTTGACCATTAAACTTTATCTGAAAACTACAATTCCTCGAAACTTTCTACAACTAATATCAAAGGTGGGTAATTCAAGCACAAGTATTACCACAAATTGGTGAAAGTAGTAAGAACACAATCTTTTAATAATTCAAGCCAAGAGGTCAAAGACTATAAAATTATGGATCTATTCCAATCTCTACTCGAGAATTGAGTTATATTTGGGTGCTGCTTCACTAATCTACAAAATATATCTACAGTCCAATTCAAGGTTTTTTCTTTGTCCTGCATTAACACAGAAAAGAGGTCATACTTGGAGTTTCTTCTGATATATCTACGCCAATCATCCATGTAGACCTACTGTACAATGTGTCTGTAAGCACCTTTTCAGAAGTAGATGAACGAAACCCTTTCCAATCTCTCTTGAAATCCAATTCCAGTTCATGTCCATCTCTGTTCACAAGGTAAGAACGGCAACCATACATGTTAAAATCTAGATCATGCACCTGTATTAGCAAAACCAAGCAAAATAGCAATTTGCATTCGAATACAGAGTAAGTTAAGCCAAAAAGGAAGTTTAAATCAACAAGGTACATATTCCATGATTTACCAAAGGATTATATACACAAGCATGATTTAAAGAATCAGTAGTGCAAACTAATCGAATCTAGAACTTCCTGTATGGACATCACTTACCAATTGTTAAGATCACCAAAGAAGATGACCAATATTGACATGCTGTCTTCAGAAACTTTTTTGAATCAAAGAATATACAATTTGGGAAGCAAACTAAAAAACAAAACTTATAGCAAAGAATTAAATTGATCCACCTCACCAGATTATATTTTTGGTTGATACACTGTTGCCAGTGCAGATGTTAAGAAAACAAAACGACACAGAGAGAGAGAGAGAGAGAGAGAGAGAGAGAATTTAGTAGTAAAAAATTCAAAAAATTATTTCAATGTAACGATGAAATAATTTTAATTGATCTCATCACCATTGCTGAGCTTCTAAACAGCCTGTTCGCATCCAAAAGCCCAGTGGAAATAACATAAATTTAACAAACAACTATAATGCACTACAAACAAAGAAAGCCTTGTCATAAATTAATCAATAGTTTAATAGCTGTGCTATACAACAACTATCTAACAGAAGGGTCACATGCCAACGGAAGATCACAAGAAACGTATCCACACTTGTCTTCAAGGATAAGGTTAAAATCAGCAGCGTGCGGCTTTCCTTTGAGGTTGAGCGCGACTGAAGGTGAGAAAACCAGCTCATGAGCCGCCAATACCCTCCACAACACCTTCATCCTCCAATAACCGGGAAATAACTGATAATACAAAAAAACGAGAAGCAAATGTCAGGATTCATGGTGAACATCGAAATCCCTATTTTCCTTCAAATGGTATATGTATTGTGTTTTACGATTTGAGAAAGGGACATAATTTCCAGGTGATCAGGCTAGGATTCAACCAGGCCACTATTTACATGAGAACCTGCAAATTCAAAAAATACAAAATAAAAGAAATGACATTATTACCTCTCCGAGATTTGAGACCCAATTTATGTTGTCAACATTTGGTTTATCAACTTCCACCTTCTCCAACTCCTCATGAAGAACCTCCTCAACAGACTTAGGATTTGGGGTGCCTGATCAAAATTCTTCATGCCTAAAGCACAAGATTTTCCTCTTCACAATATGAAAGAAATGAAAATAAACTCACTTACGGCATACACCAATGTTAGTTCTTCGAAATATATAAAACTCGTCTACAAACACACATAATATGACTAATGACATGCATGAAGAAAGTATCATTACTCTAGATTACAAAGCACTCACTGTCCAATATATTAAAGACAAGCAAGAAAATCAACCTCAAAATCATTACACTTAGATATATAGAACAGACGTCAATTGACTTGATCTGCAGGGGAAACAAATAAACAAAAATAAAAGCAAAACAGCCCTGAGCAGTGAATATGAAGTGCAGGAAAATTGGAAAAAGAAAATTTAATGGTCTCTGCCCCAAGAAACAAGATTTGATGTGCAATAATGCAAGTTCTTTGGAGTGACAAGCCTCTAGGTTACCGGGCCATATTCAGACAATCCATTCTGGCACAGATACATAGGCACACATACGGCAGGAAATTCCATTTCGTCTTTTATGTCCACCGATTCAAATTTAGTTGAATTTTTTTCTGGCTTGGCTATGTTTAATAACACATCCATGCCTTTTTCTTTATGATACCAATAGAAGAAAATTGAATTGAAGCAAATCAAATTATAAGACACAAACAGAGAGACCAGTGACCACCTGGCTAATTTAACTGAATTAGAGGTAATCAGATAGTTCACAGAATATATGAGAAATTTGCAGCAGTATTTTTGGAAAATGTAAATGAAAGCAATCAACTTCAAGTTCTCAAAACCCCCCAAATTTAGGCAAAGAAAAATGTGATTAAACTTAAAAAGTAGAATTGCAAAGAAGGGAAATGGAGAACCCCAAAAACAGATCTTTATCCAACTCCCGGTATTAGCTCACGACAGATCCTTCTTTTATTTCGTCTTTGTCTTCATCGTCCAAAGTATATGTCAATGGCCGCTTACGGTGCCGATAAAGTTGAAATTTTACCTATTTAGAGATATCAGGAAAGATATAAAAAGATGTTACAAAAAGATTATGAAAGTTTCACAACTTCTCAAAAAAAAAAAAGAACTCATCATTTGCTAAAATGAAATCCGAAAATCCCCAAAAATAAATAAAATTCCAAAACCCCCCAAAAATAAAACCTTACCTAACAGAAATCGCAGCACTCCGGTTAGAAACCTTAAGTCCGAGGAAGCAGATTTATCAAGAATGCCGAATAGAAGGTTCAAGTTTGAAGATCTGTCAGTATTCGAGTGAAATGGGAAAGTGGAATGGTCTTCAACATAATAAAACTTTAGAAAATCACAAATCCAACACGTTAAAATGCACAAGCCTCATTGCACTGGTTTGCATACTCAAAATAAAAA